TTTCTTTCTTTCTTTCTTTCATTCATTCATTCATTCATTCATTCATTTTACCCTCCATTTTTCCTTGCAAAGGACCTAAGGCAGCTTGCAACATGGAAATTCGATATTTATAAATATTTAAAATCATGAGTAAGCAACAATGGTTAACATCATTAAATTTAAGAACAATGAGTATGAAGCGGCACCTCACATCTTTAAAAAGACAAGGAAGGGGTTCACTCCCAAGTCCTCGGAGTCTTTGTTTAGCATTCAAACTGCTCCAACACATGGGTTTGTAAGCACAAGCGGAGTTCCCGGGTCCAGTAGGCTTTAACAGTTCTGAGAGGTGTTTGTCAGGTTGAGGGATTCCCCGTGTGGCCCTCCAGTGTCCATTCTGAATCATTCCAAGGGTTTTATTAACCTTGGAGAGATGAGAGCAGGAAGCAATAATCAGAACGGTAGAAAGAAACACGGGGCATTCGTTGGACAAGCCAACCAATACAAGGAAGAGTTGAATCTTGGAAGTCAGTGGGTTTTGTCCCTGAGCTCAGCATCCCGTCATTCCAGGGACGGGAAGGCAGGTATTGAGGCCCATGTTCAGACGCTAAGGCTCAAAGACAACTCGCGTCCTTTGTTTGCCTCCTGCAGCTGCACAGAAAGTGGCGACCAGTCATCGTCACCTCCAGAGCTTGGCAAACTCCCCAGGTGAAACGCCAGCCCATCCTTTGAAGCTGGTGGCCGGCAACGCCCTGGACAACTCTGCACCAAGAGAGGGGGACTCTGAGAGAGGCACGTCCTCAGTGGAAGGAGGTGAGACCCTTTTCTTGAGACATGAGCGCTGAGAGGAAAAGGCGCTCTTCCCCTGGAGGAAAATGAAAAACTCCAAGAGGCTGGTGTGGGCCTTCGCCTGCGTGCCCATGGGCTGGAAACCCCAAACCCCTCCATTTTACTGCCCTGAACGGCGTCTCCTCTAGAGCTCGCCGAAGCTACTTTTTGGAGAGAACCTCCAAGAATCCCTGGCCTCAGGCCTTGAGGGGGAATCTGGCACCCCTGGGGGCTCCATTTGCCCCTTTGGGATTCCCCAGACACCCACAGCCCCCTTATGCACACTGCCATGGTTTACTGGCTTCCCGGTCTCTTCCCCAGCTAACCCCAAAAAGATTGGAAGGGCTACTTATTGGCAGTTTGGCTTCATCCCTGGGCAGATAAAAAAGCTTGAACTAAAACACGTGGGCGTTTTAATCACAGATACAGGCCCCAGAAATATGAACATGGCCCCCAGGCTGAAGGGCCTGTCTTTGCTGGAAGGCTTTGAAATCCCGCAAGCGCAAGAGATGGACTCCTTTCCACTGCAGGCCAGGAAGGTCCCCGAGCCCTCTAAGCGCACCGACCAATGGGAACCCAGGGTTTCCGAAGGCTTTCCAGGTTTACAGGGGCTTCCCTTCCCTTCAATGGGTCGTGGACTCCTTCCCGTAAGCCCCAGCCCGTAGGGCAGCTTTGCAAGCCAAAATTCCCCATCCCAGCTCTGCCTGGCAGCCTCTCGAGCGAAAAAGCTTCTGCCTGCAGGGAGAGACGCGCCAGAGAAGGCGTCCAGGCTGAGACCCCGTGGAGAGCTCTTCCCAGTCACCGTGGGCGACATGGGGCCAGAGGGAGCCGCGGCGAGGCAGCTCTGGGGGTCGAGGAGGGCTTGGATGAGGCGCAGTGGCTCCTTCTGACAGCCATTGCCAGAATCTGCCCGCCCTTCCCTGGCACAGCCGAACGGTGGCTCTCGGCTTGGGACTCTCCCACGAGGGGTCTTCTTGCTCAGCTCAGGGACAACGTCTGTCTTGGCACAGAAGGAAGGGACAAGCGCAGTCCGCTCCAGGGGCTGATCCGGTGCCTCAAGGAGATCGCCACACGGGGACCCAGCCCCGTCCGCCAGTCCGCCAGCCGTTCCCCCGGGGAGCTGAGGGGCAAACCAGCTAAGGAAGAAGAGGAGGAGGCGGCTACGAGGAGGGCACCCCAGGAAGGTGAGCTGCGCAGGAGGAGCAACGTGTGCTTTCGTGGACAGAGTGAAAGATTAGGGACGCAGGTAGGCCTGGGTTCGAATCCCGTGGAGTGATGCTTTGAGCTCCTGGCAGGAGAAGCAGCTACTTCCTCCTGAATTCATAGGCCAGAGAAATGGTCGTTCCAGGCTGCATGGGCCACACTGAGCTTGGCTTGGGATTGGTGAGAGTTAGCAAGGCTCCTCCAGAGTTCCTGCTTTTGCGGGGGGGGGGGGGGTTCTCTGCTGGGAGGCACCTGCACACCAGCAGCCCTCGGCCACAGCCAGCGCGGTAAGCCTTGCCCTGCTTTTGATTGGGGCACAACCTTGCTCTGATACCTGATCTCGCCCACCTACAATTGCATAAGCAGCGACTTGGAAATACTTTCTGCCAAACTCAGTGGGGCTTCCTCCTGCGTAGAGTTGCCAGTGCACCTCGCTCTTAACCACTTGGGAGTTCTTAGGGAAATGAACACCCTCAGATTTTCCTGCAACTGTTTAATTTGGGCCAGTCTGGCAAACCGGTCCTGGCACAGACCCCCGGGGCTCTCCTCCAGCAAACGGTGGGTGTTGTGTCGCTTGTTTCTCTCGCAGAATCTGCCCCCACCAGTCCTGCGGCCGGCGCCATGGGGAGCAGACACCCGGGCCGGAGGTCATTCGCATGCCAGTCCTGCGGGCCGGGGCCGAGCAAGTCCAACTCACAAAGGAATGGAGCGAAAAGGGCTTTTGAGGCAGGTGAGGCAGAAGGGCAGAACACAGACCTAGCAATCGGAAGGGCCGATGGAGCCCCAAAGTCCGGCCCTCTTGAGCAAGGGGTAGCTCAGTGCCACGAATGCTGCCCAGTTAAGTCTCCGTTTGGGCCACTTTTAGAAAGAGGTGGAATTCCCCTTCTCCCTTCTTGAAAAAAATCACACGGAACCCCTCGGGCTTCTGTGGCTGCCCTGAGCAAGCCCAGCAATGGGTGCTGCCTGCAGAATTCCAGGGTCTGTGCTACGGGTCCAGATTTCTGGGCCTTGTGGGCCAGACATGGCCAATAGCTGCTGAAATGGTGCCAGGAGGCTGATGGGGTTTTTTGCACTGCCCGGTGGTGGGTGCGCATGCGCTTGCTTTCAGAAGCTGTTTCTGCGACGGCTGGCAGAGTTCAGGCTTCCAGGACTGTCTTTGGCCGAGCAGGATCTCAGTCCACCTGCACGCGCGCGCGCGCGCACACGCACACACACGCACACACACGCGCGCACACACACACACACACACACACACACACACACACACACACACACACACACACACACAACACAGAGGTGTGCTCCCGTTTTGCTTTCATGCTTTTCTTCCTTTCAGCGGGCTGATTTCCTTGCCCGGTGGACAGGAGGGGAAATGGAGAGCCTCCCTTTTCTTGTGTGGCTATCATTAAACAAGAGGAAGCCCAAAGCTCTCTCTTCTCCGTTTATTCTCTGATTTCAGCCCAGGACAATGACGACACAGCTCTAGGCACACAGTCCTGCGGTACCGAACCCCAGGGGGAAGGGGAGCCAGGAAGCGCCTCCAAGCAGAAGTCTCCCAGCCCCGACCTTCCTCTTCCCTACCGTCGCCGCTGCGGGAGTGGGACGTCTCCGGAGAGCAAGGCGGAGGTGGGGGGCCTGGGGCCCCTCCTGTCCAGGAAGCTGGACCGCCTGTCTGCGGACATGGGGGCCATCTGCAGGGACGTGGCCCAGCTGCAGAGCCACCTGGACCGGCTGGAGCAGGACGCTCGGGGCTGGGGGCTGGAGCTGGCCACGCTCCGCATGGAGAACCGGAGCCTGAGCGAGTACGTGCGGCGGATGGAGGGCCGGTGCCGGGCCCTAGAGAGCCGCTCGCGGCGCAACAACCTGCGGATGCTGGGCCTGCCAGAGGGGGCCGAGGGCAGCGATCCGCTCTCGTCCTTCTTGCAGAGGACTCTCCCGGAGATGCTGGGCTTGCCCCTGGAGTCCCGGCCCCCGGAGGTCGAG